GTTTCAAGGTCACTACTCAGGCTATTGACTATATGAAAGGTGAGAGCCATGTCAAGGATCAAATCAAACAAGACAGCGCTGTTTAGAGACTACCCAAGCAGTCCTGTCTGCACAATTCAAACCGACAGATTAAAGGTGTGGGAAAAATGAGGATCCTTTTTCATGTTTAGCGGTTCTACTTCAAAGCTTCGGAGTTACATACTCTTCCAGTGACTAGTATTGTTAAGCTTGGCTTTAAAAGCGAGGAAAATTGCGATGAAAGAGGGGAGGGAGAGGGGGACATATACCCGTACCAACTGCCTTTCTGGATGATTGAATCAACTAGGGAAAGCGTCAAATAAAGTTCAATGCAGTCTTACCTCCACAATATGTGACACTAAGCGGATAAGAGACATCAGGTAGTGGTCCTGGACCGCATGGCATTACAACTACATCTCCGGATTCACTCATTCTAAATGGAAGAACAAATAATAGAAATCTACATAACACTAAAAAAAGGTTGTGGAATAAAATTTCGACATTCAGACGACTAATTCAACACATGAATAAAATCTGATATTCATTTAAGAATGTCTTAATATAAGAGTCGAATGTATCCGCAACGGTAAAGAAGGTAGTAACAAAATTCAAGTATTCTAGAATACATAATAAGCGAAACTTTCTATCACAGACAACGGTAGTGACTCGATTTGGACCCATTTGTGTATAAAGTGCACAACAAACATGGACCTATTGCACTAAAGCTTGAGCAAATACAAACAGGAAAAAGGAATGTTAGAACTACTCCTAAAAACAGGTAATGATAAGAAGTAAGTTCTATCAAATGGGGAAAAGATCGTTAGATCAATATGATAACAAATAACAAAAAAGTTGCTTGCATTATAGCACTAGACAGATTCATGTGGCGGTCATCGGATTTACAAAAAGCCATCTTTGATGAGGGTTGTTGCTATCGCATTTTTGTACTATCACATCATCACTGGCCTGTAGCCCTTCTGTTGATAAACACATAGCTCGCTTTGTTTCCATGAGCAAAGAATTCTAAATGAAAATTCTCATTACAAAACAATGATTAATGACCATTACATGTAGACTTGCCTCGTATTTCCAAACGGCACTACCCTCACTGCAGGAGACCATATTGACCTTACCCTTATCTGACGACTCCGTTAAAATGACTTCAGCACAATTGGTTTCTCGACGCAAGTGCCCAGCTTTCGATAGCGACATTAACTACAACAAAAACTCAAAAATATTGGAAGAAGGATTTTTTTAATTGTAAAACCGGACCAGTATTAGCAACGGCCGTCTACCGACAAAAAACATTGGCAACAATTACTGGGAGCAGTACAAGAACTGCAGCCATTCCACCTCATGGTCAACAATTACGAGAAATTGAATAGTTCCCGAACAAAAAAAAACTAATGCAAATAATGGTTTGTTATTAGAATTATTTGCGACTTCTCGACGAGGCATTCATCGGAAATATTTCTTTCTATTTCATAAGGAAGACTGATAACTCATTGCAATCACTAACTTGAGGTGGACTCCCTTTCCCTTGACATGGGTACACTCCTAGCATATGCGAGTAATGTTCATCACGTTGCAGTGTGTCGGTGCACATACGGAAACCATTGACTGTGGTGAACAACTGAAAAGCAATTGAGCACACGAATAACTTTCAGATGCCCACAGATGAATCAATTTACGAAATCCCATTTTGGTTTCTGCGACTTTGTGTGAAGAGACCCTAACGTTTTCCCTTTTTCGAACATATTCCAGATAAACATCTTCATGGGAAAACGACTATCACTACGCAAATGAAATTGATAAATATATAAGAGATGACGTGTGGACTCGGCAGCCTGTTTATTCAATTTTATGTCATTTGTAGTTCTATGGAAGCCGTAAGGAAGTGGTAATTTCCGTTACAGAATTATGGACACAATCTTGGCAACTTGAGATCTCCAACGCATGTGACCTGATAATACCGGAAGCTTACCGTGCCATAGGCTATAACATTTTCATCCAGGATGAATTTTCCTGGGATTATATTGTCCAGATACACATTGAAAGGATTTAAGCCAAGGGCTTTCGTGCAAAGCTTATCGAGACAGCAGATAAGTCGCCGACGTCAGTGTTCTGAAAAGAAACATGGGTTTCTACATATACCCTTACTCAAATAATCTACACCCCATCTATGAGAGCTCTTTCGTTTTCTCTTTTGCTCGTTCGGGTCGCACTTACAGATAGCGTCAATCATGCGATCTCATCTGGACATCACAACACTCGGTTGTGCAGTTTCGGACGAGCGGGCCGAGGACAAATCAAAATTGTAATTTGCGGTCTCAGGTCTATAGCAGCAAATCTAGATCAGGCTGGCGATATAGCAAATTACACTGTGTGTCAAGAAAAACGACTAAAGGTTGCGATCTCGACAAAGCAACCAAGTCATGTTGTCAATTTTCAATCAATTTTCAAGGCAACGATTTCGCGATGGGAAATATTTCTTTAGTTAACTTGATTCTTACCATTACTCGCAGAAATCAGCCGTTATTCAATCTAAATAGGTAAAATTATCGTGCCCTACATGCTTTCCCTTTCTCCTTTTTGTACTTTTCAATGTACTTAAAAATTATCACATTTCACAGTTGATTGTACTGAAAAGAAAACCCATGAAGAGATGACTAACGCTTCAGGGAAACTCACTAAAGTAAGGTCATGCCTATGGAAAAGATAACTATAGAATCTACTTATATTTCATTCATCAAACACCTACTCGCAAGCTCTTTGAATTTGTGCAGTGGCAAGTCATTTATTACCACCTCGACCTGAAAAACAGGGGCAACGAGTAAAAGGAGGCCAATATTGGTTCGTAAGATATGAAACGTCTATAGTGTATTCACTTTATGCCGCTACTCCAGGATGGTGCAGAAGTTTGTACCAAAAAGATGTTAGTCGAGGAGTACGGAGTTAGGATTTATACCGTCAATTTTATTGAGTTTCGGGCAGTCAGAGATTTCGAAACAAGTAGAACGTAGGAGTCAATTGTTTCCTCATCTCCCGAGTGCATGCTTGGACGGTGAAGCGGCAGGCGCCATTATGAGCCGAGCAGCGCTAGATCAAGAGTTTTAATGGCGAACCGAGAATTAGAACAGACCAGTAATTGCTGAGAAAGGCATTTGGTGCGGCGAACACTGTTCGAGGTTAGATATTATCCACGGTTTATCTTTAAAAAAAGAGCTGTGAACCTGTCATATTATATGGATGGCCAGCACGAAATATATGACCCACATGAGAACACGGTATAAACTCTATCGAACCGCCACACATCCACACCTGACAATAAAATAATTTGATAGTAAGCAAAGCATAGTTGACGAGATAGACGAAACCAACCCTGAAGGATATCTCCAGATTTTCTCCGCCCCATATATCCATTTCTTCGTCATAGGCGCCAACTTCAAAGAAGTACTCACGATTAGCAGCCAAAAGTCCTCCAGCCATGGTGGGAGACCTAAAAAATTTCGATTACTTTAAAATTCTTGAACCGCTCGTGGGCTAATTTTTCTCCAAGTAACGGTTCGATTGCATTCAAAGTTAAACGACAATTGACACACACCTTGAACTCCTGCTGTCTTTTTATGAGCTGACAGAAGTTTATGGTTTTTTAGAAGAAGCAATTATAAATGCTTCAATTAGGGCCCTACGGCCGTCAACTTGATGCACGCGATTCACTAATACAAATGTACACAAACCTTATGTACTCCGTAGGGCTTTGTCTCCTCTTCTTTTCCACTTCAGGCATGCTTTCCCACGTGAAGTGAAGGGCCCAAGAGAATCCTATATTTGTAAAAAAAAACTTGAATTCAAAGCATATGCAGAGAAATCGGACAGAACTTTTCGAACTTACCTCCGACTGAAGTCGAATACTTATCACCATGATAGCGCATGTCCTCAGCTGCGATATGGTCAATAATTGGACAGATGATTGCATCTCGTTTTTCACTAATTCGTTGAACAAGTGGTTCTAACCTGAAAACAATTGAATCAAGTTGTTCAGAATATGAATACTCGGAAAAAAAACTTGTTTGCACAGGGCCGGCTTTCCACTTCTCGCGTTAAACCGGCCCTGTGAGAGACTAGGAGAATATACGGATAACCATTTCCTACATATTTTTGGTTTCTTACAGCAAGTCACTACATACGCCCATCCGGATTACTGAAAAACTCACCAGCCCACATTTGCTTCACAATGGGAATCCAGAAAGATAACGACATCACCGGTTGCTATTCGGGCACCAGCTAATTTGGCCCTAATCAAACCATGCCTGACATTCTTTCTTACAACACGAACCAAGCCATTGAAGCGGCGAATATAGTCGTCCAGATGTTCCTTTAGCTCCTCTGTAATAGAAAACTATCGATTCCACAGGGAAAACTGTTTAGCAATGAAGAACAAGCTCTCCCAATCAGATCCTACGCCTATTGAGAAGATGAGTAATATAGATAAAGACACCTAACAGAAATCCTCAACAAAAAACGAGTCCAAGTAGTGCAAGAAGTGTAGCATTGATTCAAGATAGAACGGAAATGATGAGAAAGGAAAAATAATGACGTTTGTACGTTTGAAACTTGAAAAAAAATGAAAATGTGTTGTTAGTTCCAGGAGCAAATAAAGGTCAAAATTTATTGATATGAGCCCGCAATCTCTTCCATTAGCGCTGGGCAACTGCCTCCTGCGCCAGACCACGCAAAGAATTCTACGGCGAAAACCACCTGACCATCTCGTCAATGATGTTTTTGACCACAGCATGCCCGTGTAAACTGTCACCTGATAGGAATAGCAAAAATGGGCGTGATCATCAAAAGAGGGTCAGATATTTGGATGTGTGAATACGTTCCCTGACAAGGCACTTCGCCATAATTTTCACTTTTTACCTCACAAGTGCTGAGTGGTTAGCTCTTTATGAGCCAGGTTATGAGGAAAAATTCAGGGTGTTAGGGGTGGTGAGGGCGCATCGCGAAGTAGGCGCGGTCACAGCAACGCGCCTCTTCCCGATGATCAGGTCGGGCACCCGGCTTCCTGGGAACGCTATTACGCACGACTAGTGATCGTGCAACAAAGGTTGGCCCTCACTGCACCAAGCGAATGCCCTAAACCAACCTCTCTGGCTGTTATCATCGAGGAGAATGACCTCCTTCAACAACTGCGGCGGGCTTCTATTGACAACAGAGTGAACAGTTCTC